AGAGAATTGCTGGAACCAGGGAAGCAGTGGTAGCAGTGAGCTGAGATCGCACCGCTGCTGGAACCAGGGAAGCAGTGGTCGCAGTGAGCTGAGATCGCACCGCTGCTGGAACCAGGGAAGCAGTGGTCGCAGTGAGCTGAGATCGCACCACTGCACTTCAGCGTGGGTGGACAGAATGATACTGTCTAAAGTAAAAAAAGTACACATTTATTGTATATGTGTGGTGATTAATTTTAGATGTCAACTTGACGGGGTTAAGGAACACCTAGGGAACTGGTAAAGCATGGCTTCTGGGTGTGTCTGTGCGGGTATTTCAGAGATTGGCCTGAGAGTTGATGGACTAAGTGGGTATGATCTGTCCTCAATGTGGGTGGGGTCACCTAATCAGATGAGGGCCCACATAGAACAAAAAAGGAGATACAAGGACTTGCCCTCTCTTTCTCCTAAAGCTGGCATACTCTCCTCCTCCTGTACATGCTCTCTTGCCTTGGGGACTCTAGAATTTACACTAGCAGCCCCCTGGGTTCTCAGGCCTTTGGCTTTAGACCGAGAACTACACCACAGGCTTACCTAGTTCTAAGACTTTCGGAATTAGACTGAGCCATGCTACCAGCAGCCCAGGGTCTCTAGCCTGTTGTGGAACTTCTCATCCTTCATAATCACATGAGTCAATTCCCCTGATAAACCCCTTATCATCTGTCTATCTATCTATCTATCTATCCATCTATCTATCTATCTCCTATTGATTTGGTCTCTCTGGAGAACCCTAATATAGTAAGTTATACATACTATATTAGTTGATTAAAAAGAAAGGCACCCACATCTAGATTCATTCTAGAAAGTTTTGAAGTACATAGATTAAAAAAAAAAAAAATTCTAAGACCATGTAGACAGAAAAATCAGATAACTTTCAAAAAATAAAAAAATGTGGGCCGGGCGCAGTGGTTCACACCTGTAATTCCAGCACTTTGGGAGGCCAAGGCGGACGGATCACGAGGTCTGGAGACGGAGACCATCATGGCTAACATGGTGAAAACCCATCTCTACTAAAAACACAAAATTAGCCAGGCGTGGTGGCGGGCGCCTGTAGTCCCAGCTACTCGGGAGGCTGAGGCAAGAGAATCGCTT